CTTTCTTTCTCTCTCTCCCTCTTTATCTCACACGTGCACTCCTCTCTCACTTTTCCTTGCTGTACATATTTCCTCTTCGTGGTGGTGGTGGTGGTCCAGATATCGGTCGTCTCAACACAACACAGAGTTTCTTAAACTAGTTCACTCGGCCCAAACTGACCCACTTCCATGATGATGATAGTCCTGGGATATTTCAGGACAAGGCAAAAATGGGACAAAAACCTACGAGACTTGTTGTTTCCACCGAACCTTAACGTAACGTAACCTAAATCTAACCTAGTTTAACCTAACCTAACCTTAACGTAACGTAACCTAAATCTAACCTAGTTTAACCTAACCTAACCTTAACGTAACTTAATGTAACCTAAATCTAACCTAGTTTAGCCTAAACAAACCTAACGTAATCTGAATCTAACCTAACCTTAACTTAATGTAACTTAACTTAACCTCTCCTAACTATAACCTAAATGTAACTTAGCTTAAATTTAATCTAACCTTTCCTTCCCCTCGCCCACCTTAGATAGCATTAGGGCGCTTAATGATCAGATAGAATAAGCTGAAAGGGGCGAGGGGGGGGTGCTAATTATGGTCCTAACTTACCCACGAAGAAGTTATGATCCCCTCAAGGCACATGTTATGATTAAATAAATTTGCCGAATGAATAGGTTAATTTAATGAATAAATCAGTGAATGTTTGAATGGAGGATTTAGGAAAGCTATGAACGGATGAATAAATGAACAACAAATAATAAATAAATGAATGAAAGATTGACGGATAAAGATTAATGGCCAACATCCTACTGTTAAACGATACTAAGTGACAGTAGATAGACATCCTATAGCGATTAACAGCAGGTGACAGACAGACAGACAGAACCTACAGCGAGTAACGATAGATGACAGACAGTCAGATCCTATAGCGAGTAAGAGACGGACAGAACCTGGGACGAGGAACACCAAAATGACAGTGATGGACTCTGATGGAGTCTTGAGCCGGATTTTTTAAGGCACGTATCTTGAAGCTTTGATAAAATTTGTCACATTAGGTCTTCTAGGTGGATGGAGGGAAAGAGAGGGATGGCCAAGTGGGAGGAGGGTAATGTGAAGGTGGAGGAAGTTTCAGGTGAACGCTCATGGACAGTAAGTAGTTCCGCTTGTCAAAACACTGCAAGAAACTTGTCTTGAGAAAAAGGAAAGAAAGTTGACGCTGGTTTATCCTTCTCTCTCCCTCATAAAGTCCTGTAAGAATCGACAAAATATTTTCCTCTTGACACGAGCTCCATGGTGTAGCGAAGGACTGGTCTAGAGTGTCGTGTTTATGTTTGAGAATGATAGTCATATGAGCACATCCTCACACGGTGGTGACGTCCCCTACATCGTAAACTCTTTCAGTTGGGAAGACACATTATATGGCTGGTTATAAATGATGTTTGCATGACGTCTTCTGTTTGTCGCAGAAACTTCTTATAGGATTATCTCGGGTAACGTCTTAAGCTTATTCAGTCTGGATACTGAGCCACTTAGTGACGGTAAAATGCACTGGGCATTGTTACCGTGACCTGTTGAACCTCCAGGTTGTCGCACATTACTGTCATCTCACCTGGTTCCTGTCATTTGATCCCTAACAAACCAAAGTGTAAAACTCCGTTCTTTTGTGAGCGGCGACTGAACGACATGAAGCTCTACATCAGCATGAAACTCCACTGTTGTCTAATTGCAGGAAATTCCTCACAGGTCATAGGATCAAGCCTCAACTATCCTGTGTGTACGAGTTTAGCGACTCTTTTACAATAAAATCACCGACAGTATTAATGATGCTATCAGTTGTCTTGGTGGTCTCAGAGTGAAGGCTGCTGAAGGCGACAGCTCTTAAAATGTTTTATCAACCACGTGACAACCTAAAAGGTATTAGTTGCTAGAGTTGCTGTCCTTACTTTCTGTAATGTAGAAATATTAAAAATACTAAGAACAGCTATGACCTGATTACCAGCAACATGACCAAACACAACAATACTTAAAATTATAAAACACTGGGAAGCCATCATACAGCTCTTGTCCAAAACAAATTTGTTTCGACTTTTAATGAGGGAGTATTGCTCGTTGAACATTCAAGTGGCCTAAAACATTTCCAGTTCACATTGAGGCACACAAGAACTTTATCATATTTCCATCATTGTGTTTTTGTATTCGACCGATCCTTTACGGCCGCCTATGTTCCTCTGCGTGGCGGGATAGTCAGGAGAGACAAACGCCCCGATTCATTACGAACTTTGTAACAGGACTGACAATGTAACCGTTAAAAAAAAAGAGAGAGAATGTTTCCTGCAGTAAATCGTAATAAATGAGTGGCTAAACCTGCAATAGAGATCCATCAACAACCATTCATCAGAGTTTAGTCGAGTTACGGTGATCATAAAATAAAGTTGCAACTGCCTGTCTGTCTGTCTGTAGTATAATATTACGTTAATAAGTTCTCTCTGGTCTTGGGTCTGCTAACAAATCGACTTCGCCCATTATGAGACTGTGTTTATGTTTAGTGTCAAGGAACAGCGTGAGGAGACTTGGCATGAAGGAGATTAGTTGCTCTGCGTCACTCCCAGTCGTTGGGGAATAATTTCAGCGTCAATAATTGGGGAAGTAAACATTCTCGAGCGACCCACTGTCTGCAACACTGTAATGATGATGAGTCTTACAAGATTATATACTGAACATTGTTGTTTTGTGTGTCATTTTGTTAACATTGAGCAATCTCAGCGAGTAAGCCAGCAAGCCCGGCACCAAAGCCCTGTTGACCTTTATAAGTCTCCCAGCCATCGATTCATAAGATTACTGACTCATTTCCACAGAGTAAACAAAAAAATGAAAATTAATTTCCCCCAAAAACCACAGTTTATAAAGAGATACAGCCTGTGTGTGATGTTAAATATTCTTGGCTTTACACAGAGCCTTCCTCGCTGAGAGCAACAATGAGCAACACACGCCACACCATCCTCGTGTACAGCCAACACCTTGCCAAGTCCTAAGTCAAACTCAACATTGTGAACTTTGCTGATTGGAGGACAATTAGTGCTCTCATCACGGTATTTATTGTATGTGTTGGACAGGTAGGTAGCTGTTAGTTCCCTTATGTACCGAGGCAACCAGGATTCTCATACGCAATATATACCTCACAATAAATAATTTATATATTACATAAACAGCTAAAAAGATTGAAATCCCCTTAAGAATTTATATGATATTTCAGAATTATATATTTCTTTTTCTAATAATAAAACTCGTGTAGTCAGTAGAGATTATTGTCAAGGGCCATATTCAGTGTATTTTAAATCTGGGTTTGATTAGTTATGCATGGCACTGCAGGCGAGCAACATAATTAGGGTAGAGTGGAATTTCCTCTGCCATTTTCAGTATTAAATAATAGAGCGGCAGCAGCAGCAGCATATTACTTTATAATAGCATTAACAGGAGACATTAGCGTTCACTTGATATATGTTATTACTGTTAATGGCACCATTTGTAATATCGAAACCCGACTTTAAAATATCAGTAAAGACAGAGGCGTGGTAATAGTTTCATCGTCATCACTTTTACTGCTGTAATCTGTGTAAATAATAAATGATATTACATCTTTATTGCCAATCAGGGAAGAGTTAAACCCTCTCTTTTTACTGAAGAAGTTTGTCTGATTGACGCCACCGAGCCTGTCTGTCTGTTTTCTGTGTTGACATAGGTCTTAAGAACATGATCAATCTTTTACTAGGAATTAAAGAATCACAAGAGGAATGTTCTTCTTGGACCGCCGTGTAGGTGAGGGTCAGTGATCTCGCGCGACCTTACTGGATTGTTACAGTTTATGTTATGAGTTGATGGTGTACGTCGATACATTAATCCGGTTCAAAATCCAGCATCTGTCTCTCTCTCTGTCACCTGAATCTGTTACCTCAGTCTCTTGTCTTCTTTCTGACGTCACCCATTAAGAAAGTCAATTATGGATTCCTTTAACATATTACAAGGCAATAAAAACTAACATCATTCATACGATATCAACACCTCGAGGTTCCTTAACTTAATATACTCGTGAAGATTACCTCCTCCCCAAGTTCTCACCTGAAGAGTTACCTACCCCACCACGAAACTAATTGGAGGTGAGGGGGACTAATCCTCAGGTAATCCATAGAAGCTGAAATTGCGAATGGTCTCGTTCTCGGTCTACCACCATCATATGTTACGACACACTACACGACAGATTGATATCCAAGACTTGGCTGATAAGTGTGTGTTGTATGTGTGATAAAAGAGTGAAAGTGAGTCCCATTGGCATAGCTGTACTGCACGTTAAGAGTAGTGTGGGTACAACACATTCTCAACTAAGGTTTCACTTCAGTTTCTTTTACTTGAGTTTCATTGACTTTTACTCCAGTTTCATACACTTTAGTTTCACCTACTTTAATTCTATCTATATTTTTTTTTACTTGAATTCCATACACTTCAATTTCTTCAGCTCATTTCAATCCAGTTACAATCAGGTCGATATTTTTTTTTTACTCGTTTAAAAACCATAATTAAATAACTTTCTTCCCAAAACTCATTTAAATTTTTGTTGCATGAACGAGACAAGACGACCCAGGTATTCCAATTAGTAACTGTCCCAAACTATTTTTCTTTTATTCTTCGCCAGGTAAGTTCATTAAGGTGATTAAATATTCTATGCAAACATTGTCCCTTAATGATCAAGTCTTGGGGTGGGTTTTCGCCCTCATTATCTTAACTTTTGCATAAATTATCAACCAGATGATGTTCCCGCAATCAGCAGTCGGGGAGAAATTCCTTATTTATGTTGTTTCGTTGGGATTTTCTTCTTTTCTTTGGTTTTCGTGATTTTTTCTTTCTAAGTAAGGTTTATTATTATTATTATTATTATTATTATTATTATTATTATTATTATAATATAATTATTATTATTATTATTATTATTATTATTATTACTACTACTACTACTCATGTTGTTCCGTGGTTCATGTTGCTGACTCGCTGTGTTCCTCTCACACAGGCACAACGACATGAACGTGAGATTCCTACACAACAAACTTCACTCCTTCAACCTGTCCAGCGACCTGACCCAGGAGAAGCCTTGGATGAACTCTCCCTTCTCCCACACTGACCTGCCCAGGCTCAAGCGGGGGCAGGTGGCCGCCCAGGTGAGTACTGTACCTCGGTGGTGGTGAGGTACTTTCCCTTCTCTCACACTCTTCTCCACACTGACTTGCCCTTGTGAGTACAGAGGTGGAGTTCACTCATCGGGTATTTATTTATAAAAAAATACATTTATTTTATCACAATATTTAACATTTACTTCTTGAAGCAATTTTAACTTTCATTAGGATACCGGGAGTGAAGTTTACTCACAAAAATTCAGTGCAAAACAATTTTAATTAGAGAAGTAAAACAAGCTCGTCCCACGTGTTGGTTCTCGTCAGGTCTTTAGACTCGTGTGATAAACAGACTTTGTGATTATCTGGGGCAAGAATGTGCAAGACGGATTCACACGCAACAACTTCAACTTAGAATTTTTTTTTTAGTGTATGATAAACTCATCTGCTAACGTAATTATTTGTATATCTTCAAAAATAGGTTGTGTGTGTGAGAGAGAGAGTCATACTTATTATACCTTACCATATTCATTAGTATAATAGGTAGACATGACGTGTAGGATCATGTACACAAGAATATAGGTCCACACACACACACACACACACACACACACACACACACACACACACATAAAACCAACCATTATCTCAACCTCACCTGAGTCGTAGGGGTAATGAAGCTTCTCTCAGACTCCTCACTGAAGGGATAAGTCATTCAGTTAAAAGATAAGAGCTGGTAACTTGATGAATGTGTTGAGATAATGAATGGGAAGAGTCAGGGGCAAGGGCCAGGAGAAAGAGGGAGAAGAAGAAAGAGAATAAGGAGACGGAGAAACAGAGTGACAGGGAAGAGGAGATGAAGGAAGGAGGAGACGGAGGGGGGAGAAGGAAAAGAAGAAAAAAGGGAGGTTATATGTATTTTGATCATCTATACTTCCTCTCCTTCCACCTTCCCACCTCCCTCCCACCCGAGTGGCTTATCCATCATTCAGACGCACACACACCCACACACACACACACACACACACACACACACACCCCACACACACACACACACACACACACACACACCCACACACACACCATTTTTCAAGAATTTTGGTAACACTGTGATTTATGGGTCAGTCAACACCAGAGGGAAGGTTTTGTATCCGGTAATATATTCACGTTACCCGGGGGATCCTGTTGGTCTCGTCTCGCTGCTGGATATTAATACATCATGAGTGATAGATTTCCGATACGGTGTTTTATCGCGAGTATTAATTTGTTCAGAGATGCAATACTGCCTAGGAGTTTAAACACACACACACACACACACACACACACACACACACACACACACGCCATACTCGCATTACTTAAAATATCATGGAGCGTTAAAATCTACAATATATAATCTAGAAATATATGATTTTGTGTAATATGAACAAACTATTTTTTGTGTGTTACTCTTCTCACAATATTACAGGTGAGGGTTTAAATAAATGTTTACATTAGCGTCATAGATACTTGTGCTTCTGAAAATATGAACGAAAAAAAAAGTATTACTCATTGAGAAACAAAATAAGGTAAATGGTCAAAACGTAGCGATATGGTCAAAGTAATAAAGTGTTTCCTCCTCTTGACACTCTTAGTTGTAACACTTGAGGAAACTTGAATAATATAGATGTGGATGAAAATACAGTGTTTGGTTAAAATAATATCACATCTTAAAGTATGTCATTCCCAAAACTTCATTTATTTTTAGACGCAGCTGCTCATATTTTTGTATAAACATCGCGGACGTCAAAATTCCCTTCATTTATATGGCAATAATGAACATTCTTCACAATGTTCACGAACATATGTCACATATTGTGTTCCTTTTATTGCAGTTACTATATAAAAAAATTTTTTCTGAATTTCTTAAATGATATATATATATATATATATATATATATATATATATATATATATATATATATATATATATATATATATATATATATATATATATATATATATATATATATATATATATATATATATATATATATATATATATATATATATATATATATATATATATATATGTGTGTGTGTGTGAAATGTTTGACAAATAGGGAGAACTTTTTCTTTTTACTGGTTCAACTTAATGAAAATTATTTTGTATATGGTGATTTATTTTCTATTGAAGACATCGCTTACCCTCAAAAAATAGCTAAACTCTACCTTAATTTGTTTAGGTTAGGTCGAGTAAGGTAAAGTTATGTTAGGTTTTCTATAAAACCAAACCCTATAAGGGCAGTCACATATCACACAGTAACTACCTGTCACACATCACTCAACAATTTCATGTTAAATTAAACTTACTGTCAGGGAAAACAGACACAGTTAACATGAAGCGAATATAAAACAATATGTCAAATGAAAGTGTTTCTCTCGTGTGTTGCATCATACCTGTCTCCTTTATAATGTTATTTAACACTCTTCATTCTTGGCCACTGCGGGATAAATCAACCACAATACTTAACTTTGGAGAATTTGGTGAGGTAATCAAGTGATGTGAGTGTCATGCTGTGCCTCCAGTACTGTGGTGGTGCGAGGCTTGACTACCACCAGATCATTCTCTCTTACTGTAGATTTTCTCTCTTATTCAGCTCTCTTACTGCCCACTCTTTTATCATCATCCACACTCTCTCAAAAATCCTTACTTTAATTTCATCCATGATTCTCCTCCTCCTACTCCTCTTCACCTCTCAGCATTACCCCCACCTCTCCTCATTTAGCATTCAAACACCAACTAATGAAGCTAACCGAGTCCAAACATCAATACGTGGGCTCAATATTGCACCTCATGCAGCAGATAAAGTCGGAACACCTGACTAAATTTACCTGCAGGAATGTAAACAATATACCTTCATGTGTCATTCATGTTTCTGATGGTCCTGTGATGCTGGAATAGTGTGATGGAAGTTAAGGGACCGGAGAGGAAGTTCCAGCACTTTAAGGGGGGCACCATGTAAAGAATTATCCTCCAAGTTATCAAGCCATAATACTACCATGACCGAATATGTCGTAGGGTTGAACATTGCGGAAGGTAATGAAACACTCTAGGAGCCACACAGTTAGGAGGAGTGAGCCGACGCCCTTGGACGTGACTGTGATGGAAGAGAAGCACTAGAATTCGACATCAGTGAATAGGCCACACACACACACACACACCGTGATAGACGGATATAGTGTTGCTCGGTGTGATGAACCTGCGGCACTGCTATAGAATTGATAATCGTATTTGAGAGAGGCGCCTGTGTCAAGTGTTAGTTTGTTGATGGTGAGGAGAGAATCTGAGGGAATGGTTGTATTAAATGACTCTCACACGACCCTTAAGTAAAAGATGGGACTACTAATGGATACAAGGATCTAGAGAGAATGTGTGAGAGAGGTAGAGAGGGAGAGTGGATGTGAGAGGTGGAAAGAATCAGTAGGTGTGAGAGGTGGAAGGAAAGTTTGAGAGAGAGGTGTAAAGAGAAAATGGGTGAGAAAGATGGATGTGAAAATAATAACAGTAACCACGTGTCTTGTACAGCTAGAACGCTAAACATGTTCAATTTCTCAGCAATTCCTTATACACCAGAGAAAACTCGAAGCAAAATTTACACATTCACAAAACATTAATATATTTGCACCAAGAGACAGGGCAACCAACATTTCGAATTTCAAGACGATAGAGACTGGAAGAAAAGAGGATACGTAAATGGTACTTAGAGGCAAAATCTTAATAATGTTCTTAATTCATATTGTAGTTACTTACACCAACGGGAATGTGTAAAGACCGACAACCTCATGTATAGTCAGGCATCAGAAGGCAAGACACTCTACTTAATTTTTACCATTGTAAGACACAGGCTAGCGAGTTGTTCAAGTTAGGGGCTTGAATAGAAACGTATCGTTGATCATTAAACTGAACGAGAGTCAGGAGAGATGAGATAGATAGATAACTCACAGGTGGAATAATGAACACGAAAATATTTGGAACAGATAAATTGAACAAGGAAATTTTTTTTTTGAGACTTAGACACACAGGAGTTGATTACTGTAGAGGTAAGTGTTAAGTCATTAATATTATCGGGGGAAAAATAACTTGAACTTGGTAAATGAGAAGAGAAGGAATTAGATGCATCAACCAGATTACCTGAAGATTAGATACGACAGTTTATTTCACCAAATGATTAACCACCCAAACGCTATCTGGGGGGCGAAATTGATAGATTGATTAGGTTAGGTTAGCATTTGGGTAGTAAATCTCCCGGTGATAAAAGCTGGAGGTGTCTAAATTTCAGGTGATTTGAGCAGTCCCTAGTAAACACAATGGGTACAGTTGTTGACGCTGGTATCAACATGAGTCAAGACTGTGAAATATTAAGATGTTCAGAAAAGAGAAATTATGTATATATGTATGTATGTATGTATGTATGTATGTATGTATGTAATAGCTAGTGATAAAACATAGGTGTTCCATGGTTCAGAAATATCACTTTTGCAGCCACCACCACTCCCCTGGCCCTCACCACCACTCACTGACACCACACCACCACTCACTGACACCACACCACCACTCACTCATTCCAGCACTCACCACTCACCACTCACTCACTACTCGCTTATGAAAAAATGCCTTCATCAACAGATCTTATAGAACACAATATGTAAACGCTTATGAATTAAACTAAAAAAAAAAAAATGACCAAATTAGAAACATTTATTTTTCAAGCGCTAAAATTCACAGAGGCTGAGAGTGTATTTTCTAAGCTGGATATTGAGAGAAGTCTGAGTGTTTGTCGCTTCCCAACACTCAGACGCGTTCACCAGTTTTCTTACAGAGGAGAATTTTCCGACTCAGCAATTCAGTAACTTCTCTTTTCAGTACCTTAGATAGGTCTCTCTGGCAGTGGTTTAAAGTCTGGGTGTCTCTCAATGGTAGGGAGGTCGAGAATCTGATGGAAAATTCCGAAAAAAAATATATTATCTTTGGTATAGGTTTACTGTATATACTATATGTCACGCTA